ACGGAGTTCAACTGGAATAGCTGGACGATATTTTTCAATAGGAAAAACAATCGTACAAAGAACAAAAAGAAGAAATAAAAATTTTGTGTAATCATTATATAAATTATCAAGATTAATGAAAGTTCCATAATCCTTTCCAAAAAGAGAAAGTATATTCAGTAAAAAGAGAAAAAACCTTCCAATGAACATTTTTTCCTACATTATTTTGTTCTATCTTAAATGAAATAACCGATAAAATCGGCACATGATCACTTGAATTCTTGCCACTATAAGCTTGAATAGTAATATTAATATTACTTGCAAAAGTATAGTCCACTTCTCTATCAGAACGTAGAGAAGTTGGCATACCAGTAAGAAAAGGAGCAAGAAAATGTTCATCAGCCCAAGATAAAAGAGATTCTGCTTTTTGAATATCTTGACAAAATCAACATTAAAATCGCCATAAATTATACATTTCTTAGTCACATAAGGAGACAAATCTTGCCAATTCCAAGATTTACTCGTCAGTGCATATACACCTAATAAACGTACAACTTCTACACCTTTCACATCTACGACACAAACATTAGGTAGTTTACATTCAATTCGCGAAACTTTTATAAAATTCTTTACTAACATAAGAACGCCTCCATTCTTATTTTCACCTTTTTGAGCAAAGATATGAAAGCCATGACAAATTTTGTCAAAAAAAGACGAATCAAGAGGACCAGTTTCCAAAAGAATAAGAACATCCAATTTCAAAGAAGATAAAAGAAGAAGAACTTCTTGCCATCTTAATTCTAAACCACGCACATTAAAAGATAAAATTTGTAATGAAGACGAACAAGAAGAAGTATTATAATTCACACTTTTAGATATACACTTTTGCCAAATAGAAAAACAAGATTGAATAGTTACACTATTCTCCCATTCATTGAGAATTTCAGAAAGAAGATAAAAATCAAAACGTGGTAACATAACTTTAGCTTTAGCTAACAGCTCGTTACGTTTACATAGTTTATTGGAAGAAGTACACGAGAAAAAAGGAATAGCTGAAGGCGACAAAGACATTATGTTGTAATACTTTTACCTTCTTTAACTTTATTCATTTGTATAATGTAACATTCTAATTTATCTTTTAAATCAGCATCCAATGTATTACCCTTCTTATCTTTATTTAATGATGAAATAAATGTAAAAACATCTTGAAACATAGGTAAAAATAAGTTCATAAACAAATTTTCATGACGATCAATAAATAAACCATGATGAATAACGTCTTTTTTCATATCAAATTGATTCTTAGCAAGAGCATCTAAATTTTGTTTAATAAGATCATCACCTTCTTGTTTAGCAATTATAAATTGTTCAATTGTATTTTGTTT